CGGCCCCTCGCCCTGCCCAGTGCCCAGACGATGCCCCCGCCTCTGATAAAACCCGGGTGCTGGCACAGCCTTTGGGAGGGGGCTGGTGAACACACCCCAGGCGCTCGGGCGAGCAGAGGGACGTGCTCAGAGCAGCTCAGGTCGTGTGTGTGCTGGGGGGGAAGCTTTTCCAAAACCCAGACTTACCACCCCAAACCAGGACTTGCTAAGCCCCCCCGGCTCCTCCTCCCCCTCCCCTTGGTGTGCCATCACCAACCCTGCTCTAGGGCCAACCTCTCGTGGGCACAGACCAGGGAGAGGGCAGGACACCACCTCCCCGTTCCGCAGATGGGGAGACCACCAGGAGCTCAAGGCAGTGGCCACCGTTGCCACCCTGAACCCAAAGATCCTTATAACAGCATCAGGGCGGGACACTGCCTCTGTCCCCTGCACGCAGAGTCCGTTATAACCCGTTCAGTAAGGAGGGGAACTTACATGGGTGCAGAACCTCTCCGGCGGGTCCCCACAGGTGATTCCAGCTGGATCCACCCGTACCGTCACGTAATCCTTCATCCGCATGGCCTTGGGTTGACAAGCGTAAAACTCCCATGACGGGCCATCGTCCGTGGTCACCCAGGACTTGCAAATGTCATATTGTCCCATGGCCAAGGGGAGACAGTGCAGGAGGAGAGCGGCCAGGTGGAGCATGGCAGCTGCGGCCAGGCGCGGGAGCCCGGGGTGAGGGCAGCGCCGAGAGTCCCGGGGAAGGCAGCTACTGGGCTAGGGGTTGCTCTCGGGATCAGCATGGAAACTCCTCATCTAAAAATGATCCAGTCGAAGGAGATGCAGACGGTAACAGGAATGATCCCACTCTGCACGCAGTATTTGGCTGTGGAAAGTTTCCCTTGGCACAGAAGCCAACTTTGCAAATCACTTGATCGGGAAAGTTTTGGTTGGAGTTGCTGCTCAGTGGTCAAAAGTCTTCCTTAACCTCATTTTTTCCCCCCTTTTATTGTACGAAAGGGCTTCCCAATCAGCATGAAAATATCTAGAGGTGACTCCAGTCAATCAATAGAAAGATCAAGTTCTAAGCTGCTGATGAAATTTGATAGGAGTGAATTGGAGAGGCCGTGAGATGCTGCTGGATCAGGTTTTCCTCAACCTTCTTGTCTGCCGCAAATGCGTCGCCGTGGAAAGTGCCTTAAACCGTGGTCTGCCTTAAATGATCAGTGGGGTTTTTGAATGTTAATACATAAAATAAATATAGCATCTGCTCATCAGTGCAACTCTTGACAAGCGAGACTCTGGAGCTCCAATCCTTTCCTCCCCAGGGACGGTTGTCTCGATGTGGGCGTGCTGGGTGGCGGCAGCCACAGTGGTCCCAGCAGGATGCTGGTGGTCAGTGGGTTGACGGGAGCGGCGCTGGCCTGGCTGCTTTTCCCTCTGCGTCTTGCTGCGGCGGCGTTGGCGGGTGAAGATCCCTGCCTGGCTCTGCCTCTTGGCAACCCAGCATCGAGTTCCCCAAGCCTTCAGCTGCGAGCCATGCTGCTACCTGAGGTCTCCTCTCTCGTTCATGGTCAGGGCACAGGGAGAGTTCATTAGCAGGCTGCTCCTGCAACAAATTGAAAGACAAATTAGCTGGGAGCAAGGGGGTGGGCAGTTGGAGCAACAAGACTTATAGGAAATAGGGTCCCCCAGGAGACACAGCCTGCGGCTGGGCTTCCCAAGCCAGGTTTTTGTAAAAGGGAGATATACAACTTTAATAAAAAAGAAATCCATAGTAAGATGCTTATGGCTCTTCTGCTGTTTGGGAGATGGGAAGGAGCACTGCCCCATTTCAGTATCTGGTCTGTAACAGCAGCTGGACAACAAGAGCTCTAATGGGTCTTCAAATAATATCAAGAGGCAGCTATAGGTCATTAGACGATGGAGAATATGCAGACACAGAGCAGGGACAGACAGACAAATTGATAGTCTTAAAAAGATAAGCAAATAAATAAGACAGCTGGGGAGACAGATACATTGTCCAGCATCCCCACATATGATTTATCTGAACAATAACATTTAATAAAAAACAATTTAAAGTCCTAATAACATTTAAGGTTCACCTAATACAAAGAGCAATGACCTTCCCAGTATTCATTTCAGCTTAGAGCAACATTTCTGCAATTTTGTTGTCTTTCCAGTAGAGCTATAAAAACCTTAAGTAATTACAAAACAAAAATGACAACTGAAAAACAAAAAAGAAAAAGTCAAACCCTCTCTCAGCATTAGACCCAGGAGGGAGATCTCATAAGAGAAGGTGGGAGGCACATATCCAGAACAGAAATTTAGCTCTGGATAATTCCCCTTTATATATGATTCCCCAACTTTTCTTGCAGAATGTGGGGATGTCTGCTTCAACAGCATGCTTAGGATTTGCTTTCTCATAAAGCTCAGTTACTGAAGTTCAGAAACTCCAGGTTAACAGTTGCATTGATCCATGTTCAGGGACTTCACATCGCTGGGCTACCATCTCCCTTTCCCCCCTTTTGGGTTGAAAGATTGCTGATTGAGATGAATGAGTTCAGAAAAAAGAAGCTATCTCTCATGCTTCATTGACGGCTCTCAAAGAAGAGCCTCTAATAGCTGTGTTGGACCTGAATAAACTCTCAAAGAAAGAATAGACTGGCTGCTATTTTTACATTATGAGTAAATGTAGTAAAAATAATAAACCGGTGTGACACAGTGTTTGTAAGTCCTGCTGACATCAGAGCTGTCTTTTCAGTTATAACAAGTCAGTTCCTAATTATTACATCAAACTGGTCACAGCCAAGTGCCTAATAACAGCGGCAAGCGTGAGACTCCACTATTGTACAGAAAACAAGTGGGGTAGTTTAATGAGGACTCCAGTGCTGTTAAGTTTATGGATCTATTTTCATAGCCTGAACAAGTCTATTTTGCACTTGTACAGCTGTCAGGGAAAAACCCAGGGAAAAAAAAGAAAGATCTATAGTATCTATTAGTCTCTTGTTATGCTGGCTAAATATCAGAGATTCCCAGGGAAATGGAAATTTGCTGGGAAAATAAATGTATTTATTGTCAGTCAATCAGCCAGGCGTGCGGGTTCCCTGTGAAGTCTGAGATGCAACACTTCGCTGTCACAGCCCCGTTGCACAATGTGGCTCAGAAATAAGCCACCACACCGCAAACCGGGGAGGGGGGCTCTCTGAATTAAAGGTTTTGCCCTGCTTTATTTGGTCTGATCCTTAGAAAATAAATCTTAACCTGATATTATTAAGAAACTGCAGTTCATGGGAACAAATAGAATCAATGCTCTGTGTGTTTTTAATACTCTGGTTATCAGTCCCCAGTGAGTGCCCAGCACTCTTCAAAGAAAACAAAATTAGATTGTATCTTGTCTTACTGGTTCCTTTTTTCTTTTCATTATTATCGGATTAACACCCTATTGAAATAAAGAGACAACGCTGAGCAACAACTGAGCTGCTCTGGAATGAAGTAGAGAAAGTAAACTCAAGGAAGGAGTTTCCAGTTTTCTTTCGGAAAGCTCGCCTTCAGCATAAACCCAACCATTCTTCCCCCCCCGACACTCCTCACGCGTGACTTTTTCTCTTCTTTTCCACGTTCATCATCCTTTCCCCTCCACCCTTCACGGCAAAGTTGGGGAACACCCACCCTGCCCGCGGGGTGACAGCGGAGCGAACCCCACGGAGAGCGGCGCAAAGCTCGGAGGAGCTCGGGGC